TATTTTCCAAAAGAATAACTATAATAAAGAAAAAATCAAAATCATCAAGCAACTATAAACCAGAGACACACTATGGGGTGGGGGTGGGGAGAGGAGGGAACGGGGTCAAAATAAAGGGGGTGCAATTGAATGGGGAATGAAAAAATATTAAGTGAATAAACTGCTTCAGTTTTGGAAAAAACAGTAAAAAAAATGTCTATTTTCCATTTGTTATAAATATAATCAACATTTTCTGGCACCTACTTTCTGCCAGGCACAACTCCAAGGGCTCTCTGTAAATTAACTCACTGAATCCTCCCAACAAGCCAAAGGGGCAGGTTACTATGATCATCTCCATTTTACAAAAGGAAAAACTAGAGGTAGAGGTCCTCCAAACAGGTTAGAGCTGGCTAGCTAACGAAACAGTCAGGTTCCAAAGTCCCCACTCTTAGCCACTGTTAGAGTTTATGAAAGATAATTTCTTTAACTAATAAAATGATAGCGGAGCAAGCCTGAAACAGTGTGCTCATTAGTGTTCTGCAATGAATTTAAGGGGAAAAACCACAAATTTCACTAGCATATGTAATATATCCCTTGATCATCTATTAGGGAATGTCTGTGTATATTTCAATGAAATACATAAAGCACATTAACAATTTAAGCATTTCTTAAAAGGTAAAATCACATGCATCCCAGTCTACAAGTCTGCCACTTGAAATAGGCAGAGTTATTTGAGGGCTGGCTTTAGAAGATCTATTTCTGGGCATATGACTTGAAAAGCAAAGGTATCGTTGCTGGTGTCCACCTGTGCAGACCCTCCTGCATGGATTCAAGATGATTTCTCCTGTTTTTACATTAACCTTCTACAGAAAAAAAAAAAATCAACCCCCAAATCATCAATAATCGAGCGGAAGAAAATCAAACTAAAATGACAACACACCTCTGAGGATTAATAAAAAATACATATGATAAACAGTATTCCAAATCACTGGAACAAATACCCAATATTCTATTGTATTACATTTTCACTTTCCCTCATATTAAAACTGATGTCAAATCTCATTATCTTGGTTATCCAGGAGAAGTAGTCCAGAAGCAATAATGGTAGAAATAAACAAATTACAGTTGTGCCTAAGATCGAATTTCAAGGGAAAAATTGCTGTCAATTTAGAAAATGCACTATCATGTAAACTTACAGGACTTATTTTACCAGCCAAATGTCCTAGTGCGGAGTGTGTAAAGAGCCCACTATGAAAATATAAGAAATCCTAAAAACTCTAAAAACAGAAAAGCATCGCCTTAAACATGAAACCCACAGTCCAGAGAATTAAAGCAAAGAAAAATGTCAGGTACATAGCAGTAACTCATTAAATACTTGTTGAATACAAGTGAAGAAAATGTTTACAGAGGAGCATAATAAAAAATGGAAATGGAAAAATAGCAGATACTGCTTTGAGTTGTTGAGATTTTATTAATACCAGGGTAAGAAAGAACTAACGATCATAGAGACTGGGGAAAAAATGATAACACAATCCAATCAGACAAATTTTGTGCTACAGGACCTGACTTGTACTTCTGAAGAAAAATATCTCTAAGCCCAGCTTTGCCTTAGTAAGTGATCTGGAATCAAACCCTGCATGGTGACACAACATTTACAGTACAGTTCTAATGTGGCAAAATTCCCTGAATTTGGTGCATTTTAAATATGTTAATTTAGAATTTTCAATAGGAGTTGCCCAAGCTTGACCCATCACTTATTTTAGTAACAGGAAAAATATATATCCTATATCGTCTCTGCTCCACTAAAAGAGCATAAATACAAATGCAATTAGACAAAATCTACATAAGCCAGACCTGTCATATCTGATCCATAAATTAAAGCATAATAAAATTACAGCCTGGGAGTCTGAGAGTAATTAAGGCTATGTACAGCACCATCCTAGCCATGGCCCAGTCAAAGAATCTCCCAACAATTATATCATAAATCTTTCTCCTGGGGAATCAGCTCTTGCTCTTAAACTCTGGCAGGACTTGAAATTAGCATTTACATACCAATATAGCAGTTACCAATTTTGTACAGAATGCCTAATATAAAAGTAATATTATATTCTGTTTCTTGTTTTAATGCCTGGTTAGAACACATATCCTTTTCTCTCATGGCATATACTAAAGGTCATGGTATCACAGCTCACCTGAAATTCCTGCTCAATTTAAATCTTAGCCACAACACTGGTTTCTTATAAGAGCACAATGAGAAAATATTCCAAAATCTTCTTCAGTGTTCACGAGATAAAAAAGAAAGAAACCCAAGTGAGCACGTGATGAGATTTCATAAAGCCTTAATTGCCAACTATTATTTTTCCTTTTACCTTTAAGTGTTTCTGAACCGCTTAAAGGACAGGGCAGGTGCTTCAAAGGAAAATCTAACGACACACCTGTTACATAACCTGTTCTTAGTTGGTCAGGTTATGTGGTTTTGATAAGGAATAAAACACAGTCAAAAGCAGTAAAAACACTGATTCTCTGTTCTCCATTCTCCCATTAGTCAGGACATTCATCTGAGGCACACACCCAATAGGTAGCTCTGTGCCTCGGTTTCCCTAACCATTAAATATGAGGTGCGATGCTATTCAAATTCTATTTGATCAAAGTTATGAACATAACACACTAGAACATTATGTTGATTACAGAGCATTACATAAATACAACATGTATTGTATTTTAAAATTCCAAAGCTTATTGTAGTGTTTTACTCCAAATACTCCAAAGAGGTTGGCTGGGCCATTAATCAAGATGAGGCAAATACCAATGTACTGAAGAGAAGTGTATATAAAGATACATAGAAACCCTCCCTGGCAAAGCTGTCACTGTGCATCCATAGTCATATGCAAAGAGGAAACCACAGAGCTTAAGAAAGACGGGTCTTTTTGTTTTTGCTTTCCCTGACAGTATCAGGGCCTAGGAACACAAGATGACAAAGTTTCAGAAAATCAAGGACCCCAAATGATCAAGTTCTTCTAATCGTCTTTTCCATATTTTCTTACCCAAATGGCGCCCAATGTAGTGATAAAACTCCACAACTCCAGATCTGTGGAGATTTGCCGAGACCCAGGAAGGGGTCAAGGAGAGAGAAGTTGCACAAACACAGATGGTGCGGCCTTTCCTCGGCCCGCCCAACTGTAGCCAATAGAACGGCCGCAGTAGGCTCTAAAGGAGGCAGATGGATTCTCTCCTGGAAATCTAATTGGCGTCCGGGAAACCAGAGCTAAATCTCCAGGGAGGCCTGAGCACCCAGGTTAACGCAGCCCTACACTGCAAGGATGCCTCGTTGGCCAAGCACAGGCCTGTCGTGACCCCTTTGGAAACTAAGCACCAGAAGGTTAGGATACCACCACCCACACCCAACCAAGATAACCATAGATGCCTTCTAAAACACAGCGAACATTTCCATACGAAAAGAAGTGTTAGCGCTGGTGTCCAGAGCTTGCACTTGGTCGGCCTTTTGGGAACCCAGCCCGGCCAAGCACCCTCTCCCCAGAGTCTTTGCACCCAAAGAAAGGGAAGACCCCAACTTTCAGACTCACCCTTCTGCACCCAAGAGTGCCATCTATTTCCCTGGCGCCGAAGGACGCTGGCCCGGCTTCCACTCACCCATCCCCTACCCCTGACCGCCATAGGGACGGCCGCGCTCTCCCAGCGCTCGGAGCCGGGCCGGGTCGCCCGAGAGACCCCGCGCTCCGCAGCTGCCGCGGCCGCACGGAGCTGTGCAGCCCGGCGCACTTGTTGCCGTCCCCGAGGGACCGGGGGGCGGCGATCCCTCGCGCCGAGGAGCCCGCGGTAGCACCCCCGTCCCGCCTCCGCTGACCTCGCCTCCCCGGGACCGTGGAGAAAGTAGCTCAGGGATCGTGCACTCAGGTGAGGAGGACAAACTTTTCCACCCAGGGCTGCAGGGAGAGGCGGGGCACGGAGCCCCCCAGAGCCATTACCTGGAGCTGCGCCCCCGCCGCCTCCGGAGCCCCAGCGAGGCGCTGCCTCCCGCGCCCTGCCCCAGGGCGCCCGGAACGCGCCCCCGGACCGCCGCCGCCGCCCGGAGCCGCGAAGGCTCTCCCCGAAGCTGCCCACGCCCGGCGGCCGCAAGACCGCGGCCAGCGCGCAGGGGGCGGAGCCGCGGCCGCGCTCCGGCCGGGCTGGCTGCGCCCGCCGCGGTGCCGCCGCCCCCGCTCGCTCCGCGCCTGCCGGCTGCCACTGGATCCCCGGCCTACCCGCCTCCCGGCCCCGGCTGCACAGGCATCACATGGCCCGGCCCGCCCGCCGCGCCCGACACCGGCTCCAGGAGGAAACCTGAAGCTGCCGGCGCGGCGCTGTCTCCGCCAGCCCCTCCCGCCGCGGGGCGGTGGCCGGCTCGCCTCGGCTTCCCTCCCCCGGCACCGAGCGCCGAGGCGGGCGGAGGCTGGCGCGGCCCGGCCGGGCCCGAGGGAGGCGAGGTTGCGCCCTAGTGGCGGCGCCCGTGCGCCCCGGGCCCCTCGGGCCTCGCCTGGGCGCTGCCTGGAGAAGGGGCCGGCCTGCCCGCACCTGCCAGGAGTGGTGCCAGCCCCGAGGGAGGCTCAGGCCGCGTCAGTCAAAAGGCACCACACCGGTGGCACAGTCCGGCCCCAGCATTATTTAAACAGCAGCAGACGCCGTGTCCCGTCTCCAGCTCACGTACCTCTGGCCCAGAGCTTCGAGAACTGGGCTTCTCCTGGCGTTCTTGCAACCACGTGGCGCCTTTAAAGTCGCGATTCAAGAATTTTCGTGAAAACCATAATCTCTGTGTGTGTGTGTGTGTGTGTGTGTGTGTGTGTGTGTGTGTGTGTTTCATTGAAGAACAAACGAAAGAGTTCCTTATCCTGGTGATTATTCTGTTATAACCGATCACAACCCCAAGGGGAAAAGCTTCCTCTCCATCAGTTCTTACATAAAACAGACTTCAATTACAGCAGCTTTCAAAACAAAATTGCCGATTTGACAGTTCTCGTAATTACCTTGAATCTCTGCTTTGTTGTCTTGTGAAGACCTGTCACCCACAGAACCAGGACAGGGGTGTGGTCCAAGGAAGTTGGCCACCATGACGCTGAGCCAGAAAGGAGCACCCTTCCCCAACTACCTCTGTCTCCTCTGCAGGTCCTTGGCCATTTCCACCTCCCTTCCTGTCCTCACTTTGGCGAGTCCAGCTTGCTGGAATAGCTCCTGAGAGGCAGCTACTGGCTGAAGAAGAGAGCACTGCTGTGTGTCTAAAGTCAGCTCAGCTCCAAGGGAAAGGCCCGGAATTGCCTTCATAAAAAAAACCCCAAGTGTCACTGTACTCCTCACCGAGGGCTGCACTTCCAGTTGATTCTAATTCAGGGAGAACTGTGAGCCCAAGACCTGGCCTCAGGCACTGCCTTGTGAAGAAAAAAGTCTCTGACCTTCATGACACTGAAGATAAAGATAAAAACAATACTCTTCAAAAATAAAATATATTTCCAACCTAAATATGTCTCCTGAAGATTAAAAGAATGAGACAAAAATAGTTTTCAAGCCATTCAAGTGAGTAGGAACTTTGATGCATCTGTTATTCCTTTTTATGGCATTAGTATTGAATCATTGTATATTTTCTTTCTTTGTCCACCCTTTTTCTTTCATTAATTCTGTCAGAAATACAAGTAGAGAAAAATAAGTCAACGTGAGAAGAGAAACAACTGTGGTAAGAAGTTGCCCCAAAACTTCTCTTCCCCATTGTATGGGGAATATAAAAATAAAATTTATTATTTAAAAAAAAATAAAAATTCACCTACAGAAAAAAAAAAAAACTTCTCTTCCCCACTAAAAAGAAACCAGCAAAACTAGTAATTGTGGAACCCTCACTGAGGACATATAATCACGCGATCTATAGTTTTCTTGCTTTCTCTCAAGCACTGAGTGTAATCAATATTTAAATAAGTACTTGGCTTTCAACTTCTCTAGGTTCAAATATTCAGCAAAGTGTACTCTAGCCATCTTAAAAGAAGTCTGCAAGTGTGTGAGGCAGGAAGCTATCAGTTCCGTAAACAACCCTTTGCATCTGATTGATTTTGCTGCTCCAGATATAGGTCACTCAGGACACTGAGATAGTGTGAAGCTTGGCTGGGACAGCACTTATTTAGAATTCAAAGACTTCGCATTCTCAGTCCCCAGACAAGGAACATTCAGCCAACAAGAAATCAAGCTGTTAATTCAGTTGGGAAAATTCTAACTTCCATGAGTATTATACCAGTGTCCCAGCTCAGCTGTCTTTTCTAACTATTCAATCTCCATTCATCCTTACAGACTTCTCTCCAGACAGACCTCCTCCATAAATCCTTTCTTTATTGTACTGATTTCCGACACCCTCTGAACTTTGACAAAGTTTAATGGCCTTACCACACAACATAGCACCTGATTGTATTCACTGTCATATGCTGGACAACCACAAGTTCTTATCCTCTCTTCAAAACTTGTCATTTCAAGGACAAAGACTTTTTAACCCAGTAGTTTCCACAATACTAAGTTTCCTCTGGGGCATTTAATATTTGTTTTTGTGAACTATCATATCAGGTATGCAGATAAAAAAATATTGATCACAATTTTCACTTTAATGGTTATAAATACCCCAAATTCTATTACCTACTTAAATGTTTCCTGCTCTTCGTTCTATTTCCTTTGCCAATAATTCTCAAAATTATTAAATAATTATAAATCTAGTGTTTGGCCATATGTATTAGGAAACTACCAGTGTTTCCAAAATAAAAATATAAGAAGATGATAGATTTTGGTATGAGGACAGATAGGGACAAGTTTTGGAATAAGAAACAGGAAGACCCTGAGCAAACCCAACCTTTTTAAGTGTCCTTTTTAAGTGTCCATGCACTCATCTGTAAAATGGACATAAGAATGGTATCCATTATCATTGTGAGATTTAAACAACTGAAGATGATTATGGGGTGCATAAGTAGGATATAGGAAATACTGGAAGCTAATATTTCAGAGCATGGCTACATTAGAACACTTCTGAGCTTTCAGATAATTGGTAGAGGGTGTCAGACTGAGGTTAAGAAACTAGTTCTGCATTATACACTCGGTTGCTCAGGCTAAGAAGGGAACACAAAGAGGCCAATATGATCAAAACCAGTGAATATATCTCCTGGGCAAAAACACAGCTTTCAGTCCTGCTACAAATTAGAGTCACCTGAGAAATTTAAAAAAAAAATAAAGGCTTGATTCCCATAATCCCATCCAGACTAATTATTTTTCAACATCTCTAAGAGATAAGGTCCAGGCTTTTTTTTAATCCCTCAGCTCCACAGGTGATTCTCAGTGGTATGCCAAAGTTAGAAACAGCTGGACTAAAGGAACCGGACTATTTCCACTGTAGAAAAGTGAGAGCCAGTGAGGCTAAGGGGATCACCTCTTCCATTTCTACTAATGATGAACAATCCCATTTAAATTGTTGGCCAGCAGTGATTTGGTGTAATGTGCATGTGAAGCACCTAGAGATCTTGTCCAGATGCAGATTTTTACTTGTTCTCAGATGGAGTGTGACACTCTGCATTTCTGACAAGCTCCAGGTGGAGGAAACACTGCTGGTCTGTGAACCATACTCTGAGTAGCAAAATAATGGATGTGGGGGGAGGGGAGGGGGCGTGGAGTCGAGACATATTCACATTATTACAAGAGAAGTCTTGATAGTTCTGAATATTTTTATGAATCAGTTCATATTTGTTGTGCAACAACTCCATACAAAATGTATTTTGCAATCTTTTAAAGAAAGAGCAAGCCATTCCCAGCCAGTTTTAAGAGGTCTTCCCTGCAGGAATGTTAGAGCCCCTCAAACAGGTTCTACTTCTCCCTTCGACACAGTGAGCACAATCCACAGGACCCACAGTACTCTTAGGGACCAAATCAAGGGTATAATTTATATTTTCATATATAATATTAATATATTGGTCTTTATAACAATGCTGTCAAAAACCTTTTGACTTGTAAAGGGCCAGTAACTCCTATGTTTCAATCTACCCAAAAATAGATGTTTTCCCTAGGTTCTAGAACAGCCTTTTTTTTTTTAGAACAATCTTCATCTCAGAAAGTGATTACTTATTTACATCACTGGTTTGGTTGGCTTTCTTCCTTGCCAACTGGATCCAGCTATCTTCAAGTTATAGATATCTTCTTAAATCTTAAACCAATTCAAAGGCTCTTTTTGATCTCTGGGGCACAATTGTATCAGGCAGGACAGCTGGATAATGCCCAAATGTGTGTATCTGTAAATCTTTCATTGTAAACAATTTTGTTTCCAAGAGCACCAATGGAGTGTTCAGATATGGGTTGTGGGGCAGAAAAATTCAATATCTAGCCTTTTTCCAACTCTTAACACCTGCCAAATACTCACATGAGCATATTAAATACAGTCTGGAACAATTTTTCACAGTTATATGATAAAGTCCTTCAGAGTTGATAATTGAGATACTAACACCAGTTTAATTAGGGTGATACAAGTAGTCACTGATAATACACGTGGGAAATAATGTGTATGCAATTGTCACATGGGCTGTAAATATGTTTAAGGCTTCTGGTGACATGATGGATGGTGAGTATGAAGCTCCAGTGTTCTGCACGTGATGTCATTTGGAAGCCTCAAAATGCATGTATAGCTTTGGGCAGCTATTACTCACTAAAGAGGATCAAGATCCTGTTTTTCCATTTACAAAGGACAGGCAGAGGAAAGGAAAAGACTGGAAAATCTAGAAATAAAATTGAAATGAATTTGTTCCGCCACCTCCACCCCAAAAAGCCATATAAAAAATACTAACTCAGCTATTTGAAATTTACTCAGTACCATTTGATAGCTCATAACATGTAACCCAAGATCTAATTCTTGTCACTAAAGGATCCGAGAGTTTTCCAGTAGCCTAAGTTAAATATCCTACAGTTTCTGAATCCAACTCAGAAGACCTATGTAGTCAAGGTAAGTGCAATGTATGAGGACTTACTGTTGTTGTTCTGTTCCCACTCTCTTCTTTAGTTGGTTATCTTGGCAGAGCGTTTTCTTCACTGCTTTCAGGAGGGACACAGAGTAGGTAAGCTTACCGAGGCCCTGATATTCCAACCCAAATGAAGAGACTTGGGGATCCACCATAGGATACAGAAGGAAATGGAAAGACTTGAGATAAAAAAGGAGAGTCTAAAAATAACACCTGTAATTCCTCTTGTTTTTGAAAAATAAATGGTCCTCCCCAGACCCCTGTCATTAAAAGGCAGTTAATTCTCTTCTATCAAATAAAATGTCTTTTTCGACATCACTTATTATTAGGGAAATGCAAATCAAAGCCACAGTGCTCCATCATCTTACACACACCTATTAGAATGGCTATTATCAAAAAGACAATAAATAACAAGTATTGGAGAAAATGTGGAAAAAAGAGAACCCTAATATACTGTTGCTAGAAATGTAAGCTGATGCAGCCACTGTGGAAAACAGAACAAAGAATTAAAAATAATTCAAAGACTATCCTTTTGCTTCAAAAAATTAAGACTATAACTACCACAGGATTGTCCAAAAAATATGATAACATTGGGGCCTCCCTGGTGGCACAAGGGGTTAAGACGCAACCTATGAAGCTATCTACAGCCACTGCAGCATGAGTTCGATCCCCGGCCAGAGACATACCCACAATGGTGCAGCAGACCTCTCCTGTCTCACCCGCTGCTCCCCTCAGCAGTGTATTCTGTAGATCTTCCTGTTCTGTTGCCTATCTCTGGTGAATCCTCTCACCCCCCACACCTCTGGCCTGTACCCCATTTCTTGGATGCATAAATAAATAAATCTTTAAAAAAAGAATATGACAACATTAATTTGAAAAAGATATATGCACCCCCATGTTTATTGTAGCATTATTTACAATAGCCAAGATGTGGGGGAAAAAACTAAACATCTATCACCAAATGAATAAATAGTGAAAGGGAGGTGTATATATGCACAATGAAATACTACTCAACCATAAAAAAAATAAAATCTTGCCATTTGCAACAACGTGTATGAACCTTGACAGCATTATGCTAAATGAAATAAGTCAGAGAAAGATAACTGCCATAAAATTTCACATATATATGGACTCTAACAATAAACAAAACAGAAACAAACTCACAGAAAACAAATTGGTAGTTACTAGAGGGAAGAGGCTGGAGAATGAGCAAAATGGGTAAAGGAAGTCAATGATATGGTGAAGCATGAAAACCTGACTTTTGGTGGTGATCACAATGTAGTGGATCCAGATATCAAACTATAAAGTA